GTTGTTTGGGGTGGTGGCTGCCTTACTGCCACCAATCAGCTGATCGGCAGCTGATAGGCAGAATGGTGGTTTTTTGTGTGTTTTTTTAATACGAAGAATGAATAAAACGGGTAAATATTCATCCCTTCGTATTCATGGGGGGGTCTCTTGAACCCACAAATACAGATTGACGAATATTTAACAAATCGGCTATATTCGTCAGAAAAAGCAATCAGTTTTTATATTCTGCCCCATCTTTATTTAACATCCATTTTTCCTTGTCTCCAGTTACTCTTTATCTTAATGTGTTGAAACAATAGCAAAGTGGCAGAGATCAATGCCTACATAAAGCTAGGTCCAGTTTCCCTACCCCTGGTCTAAAAGTTCTGGGGGAAGAGCACTGTGAGCAGGGTGGTTGCTTGCAACTTGAGAGGTCCACTACCATTTGAAGTTGATAGTATACAGTTGGACATAGTAATGGCCTCATCTACACCATATTCTTCTCTTCCTCACCCAATTTCCTCACCTTCCACATATTCCCATCTCTCCTTCAAGGTAGTGATCTGTCTTTTCCACTCCTGTAGCTTTGAATTTCTTGCACCAGACAAGGGGTTTGGAATAGATATCACCCCTTAAGTCTGATTCTAAAATATTTTGCCTTATCTGACCTCCTCTCTCTCCATCAGTCTCCTCAGCCTCCTTCAGTTCAGTCATGAATGTCTGGATCTAACCTTGTTCTCTTATTTTCTTTAGGTACTACCCGGAAGCCAAGGAAAATGTGTGCCCTTCTCAGAGCCTGCGTCTGGGGCTACCCAAAAAAGGACGAGGGGGGCACCAAAACTCAGGGGAAAGGGAAGAAAAGTTAAGCAGAGAGAAGCAAAACAGCTGGAAACATGAGGTGTAGAAGAATCTACCTCATTCCCCCATGAATTCTAGATGTAATAAAGATGTTGGTAAATTATATTTGTCATCTTCTGAGTATCTGAATAAGGAATACAAATAAGGTGATGATGCTGCACACATTCTAGCTGGGCCTGGTATCCAACTATGCCTTCTAGTAACCTTCCAAAAGGCTTAGTGTGACAGACAGCTCTCAGATCACTCCTGTCAGTCAGGTCAGAGCTCAGGTGAGGGAGCCTATAAGGGCTTCCAGCCCTGGATGTTAGCTGGCCCAAGAGTTGACAGATGGAGATCAATGTGACAAAATAGTGACATCAAGTACTACTAATTTTAACAGGTCTTTCATAGAGTAGACCCACTGAAATCCATGGAATTTCAGTTTGTCATAACAACTTAAAGCCTACTGATTTAAATGAGTCTACTTTAGCCTGACTGTAAGCCTGGATCTCCACTAAAAATAAGCTAGGAGATGATATGCAGAAATGGAGGATGAACTGTCTTTCAATAACACTATGTATTCACATTACACACATCTCCATGAGTCTAGCATCAAAATTCCTTTTACAAATCACTCTGGCTTTCCCATGGTCCCTTTCTACCATCTAGTGGAGAAATGGAGTAAGGCTGCTCTATTCCCACCAAACAGGGCATGTTGAACTATTAGCTTCCTGCTTATAAGGCCTTGGGGTAATAACCGTTCTGTTCTGTCTGCACAGAACTGGGAAGCTATGGGAAGTCTGATCTGACAGCTATTGACCAATGCTCAAAGTAGATCTGAACAGAAACAGCTGGAAATGTCCAAATAAACATTTGTTGGGCAAGAAGGACTGGGGCAAGAAGTACCAATTGTTATGAAGAGTACATCTGTCATTCAATCCTGCTGCAGAGTCTGATTTGTATAAAATAAATCCGGAACCTCAGGAAGTAGAAGATTAGCCCTCTGGATTGAAAAATCGTTACATTTAATTTTGCTTTTGAATGTCAAATATTGGCACTAGAATTTGAATTTTGGTTACAGTTTGGAGCTCCCAGATTTTGCAGGCATTGAGTAGCAGCAACATTCTAATTTCGGCTTCCAAAATCAAGTTCAATCCTTTTTATTTAATGTTATATTTTGCTTTTTCTTCACTAACTGGGAATAAACATCTCCTTCGTTAGATCTTCATTTAATATAGGTTTTGGATAATCAAAAGGCTGGTCAAATACCTTTTTAAAAAAATTAAAGGGTTGCTTGTTCTTCTACATTATTACTCCATCAACTTCTCCAACAATATATATCAAAATGTCATTTCCTGAAAGAGTCATGATTCTTCAAGGTGGTTTTCCTTCCATGAATACTTGAGGTCCAGGTGCTTTGGATAAAACCAAACGGAAAGTGGTAAGAGTTCTTGATATTTTGGGGATTAACTTTTGCTTTGTTGCAGAAAATTAACCATGATAGAAATAATATCAGTTCTCAGTTAAAATTAGTTATTCCCCTCTGGGGAATCAGAGTTGAGAGATTTCAGTTCATTATTGTGAGTATGAACCATGGAAGAAGGTTTAATAAAAGCACTCCAGGATTCTTGGTTCACATAAAGCTTTTTAGATGACAGTCTTGAATCAACAACCCTGATTTTGCAAAGAAGTCTGCATATGCAGATCATGTTAGGATCAAGCTCTTCCTACATTTGCTTGCTGTATTTCCTGTTGAGTGGAATGGAGTGGGGAAGGGGCATGCCAAGTCTGCAAAAGGAGCTGGGCTGTCGCATCTCCTCAGTATGGCTCAGTGATTACGCTATAGGCAAACAAGCAAAGGCTGTCACAGTGTATCATCATCAGCCTCTCTCCACAGATGTATGAGATAATCACAGCTGCTTTCCCTGAAAAATGCCCTGTGTACAGGACTATCTTCTCTTCAGTTCTGCAAGGCACAGTTTCCTTGGTCTCCATCACTGCTGCTATTGGTTGCCTGACTCAGTGCACACATCTCTCCATGCCTTCTTCCGCAAGACCATGGTTTTTCTGATATTGTGGCTAAGGCTGCCTATATATGGCAGTTCTCACTCAAACCTTTTCAGGCCAGACTTTTCTTATCCTTTCTTCTCCTTCCCATCCTTCACAGTGTTCCATCCTAGAAGTCAGGGCCAGTTGTAGGGCAGAGAGAAGGAAATATTAGCCCTCCTGATGTTTTTGCCTATATTCCCACAATCTCTAACCTTTGGCTATGCTAAGTAGGTCTGATGGGGGTGATTGGCCAAAACAGCTGGTGGATCAAGAGTTTCCTATTGCGCACTATGCAATGCCCCAAGTGCGATCCAGTTCATTGGTGATCCAGCTGTCATTTAACACGGCTGTGAGGAAAAGGTCTCCGCTATCTGCCTTATGAGTCATCATACCATTCAAGCTATAGCTAGCCACACACCCACACCCAGACCGCCTACAGCTGTTCTGGAGCAAAAGCAAATCTCTTGAAAAAACAACACTCCTCCTAGGATATGAACTACCACATTTCAGGAAAAGGCTTTGCTATTCCAAGCTAGGAAAGTGACCAAAGTCACAAAGAACTGAGTTTCGCACTGATGTTATCCACAGCTAGCCCCAACCATACAATATTCCCCTTATATTGATTCATTCACTACTTTTCCACCCTGACTTTCTTCTCTTTTTTAAACACTCTTAAAAGGAAGCCTTTTTTTCTAGTACTGTATCACTTTGAACCAAGAAGAGAGTTTAGGAAGCAAGTTTCCCACTCAAACACTTTCACCCAATCTAAGCCACCATTCAATGCCAAACAAAAATCCAGGAGAAAATATTTCTTCTAGAAGTTTGAATGATTTCTTAAAGAGTTGCTGAGCAGTGTTTTTAAATATATATTTGGAAATGAATACCAATAAACCCCACAAAGGGGTTTATTGTGCCAAAGTTTATTAGGCAGAAAGTGGCAGAACTTGAAATATACTGTATTCCATATGGAAAAACCCTAGAGATGGTTATTTATTTATTCGATATATTTCCAACCTTTCTTCCAGATTCTGGACTCAGAGCATCTGTGTGAAAACCTAAGAGTTTAGAAACAAAGCATTAAAATGCTGTATGTGGATGAGCTATTAAGAACATGTGTGTAAGCACAATACTTAGAGAATCAGAATGGACTGCCATACTCAGTGTACACATAATTACAATTCCAGTTTGTACAGCTTTGTAATGAGTGGAAAGCCCCTTATTGGTACTAATATCTATGTTGAGTTGTGACCTCTGGAAGTGCTTTTATTGCTAAAGGGTAGGAGCTGCAGCTTCATGATCCATGTCTAGAATGTGGCAGAACCACACACTACTATAGGCTTAGTAGAGGCCTAGGTAATCCAGTTTTTCAATCAAAATCTGTTGTTAACCTGCTCTGATTCTATGTGCAGCCTGGTCAGCATCCCCAATCCATCACCATGGAAACCAAACCTGCCTGTATTCCAGTAACACTTGCTCCATGCTTAGACTTAAAAGTAGAATGGTGATGGTGGTTGGGAATTTTAAACGCACTCACTTTTCCCTTCCATTTAACACACAACTAAAACATTTTCCCAAGATATTGCAACCTTTAGCCACTTCAGCTGCTTTGAGACTAACCTTGGAATTAAAACTCACCACCTTTCTAAGCCCAACAGAATGAGCATAAATCAAGGCTCTGGATTTGCAGGTTAATACAGCAAGCTCTAACACCTACTTGAGAATGACGAATGTTTCGGAAAATGTCCTTTGTCAGCGGTGTAAATGTTTCTAGTCACTCTGCAAGAAGCCCATTATAAACTGTACTAACATTTCCAGCTTTGTAACTATCACATTATCATCAGGGAAAATGTTCTTCTCCATTATAACACAGCTTGCTAGCAGGATCCTGGAGAATTGCAGTCTTTCTACCATCAGAAAGAACCTTGTAACTCCACAGCCAGAGTTCCAGGAGGGAGCTGGTCTAAAAGAAATCAGATAGTCTTTCAGGATTGATATTCTTTGCAGTAACATATTTCTGAAAATGTTCACATAATTTTATTTAACCCCAAATAGAACTATCTGAATGTTCTTATTTTTGGTTTTGGAAAATCATGAATGATACTGGGATTCTGTAAGGCTGGTAGACACAACTCCCAGAATAAATATTGCACAGATAAATCAAATAGTGTAAATTATGCAAAACTATGATAGCTCCTGTTGTCAAGATGTGAAATTTTGAATGTACAGAGTGCTAAAATAATTAAGAGAGGTATAGCAAAAGCATTCCTGAAAATGTATATTATGCTTTAAAAATAAAGTCTGAACAGCCAGATGCTAAAAGTTACTGCAAAACAATCTGGAAGGAAGATCACGGTACAATAAGTTTATCTTGCAAAAGAGTCTTCTTCATAGCTGACAGTCCAGCATGCAAGCAAACAAAGGAGCGAAGAAAAAAACACTAGCCTCCTAGAGCCTCCTGATGTTCTTGGACTAAAACTCCTGGAAGCTTTCACCACTAGGCGTGCTGGCCAGGATTTCTGAGAGAACATCTGGCAACCACTGTTCTAGACTCCTAAATTCCAGATAGAGTAAAATGGTTTATATTGTATAAAACATTGCAATATATTAACATGGTCAGCAGGTGGCATTTATCCATCCAGTGACTTGCACTGTCTCTATTTTACTCCTCAGTGATTTAGTCCCAGTGCAAGCTAGTGGCATAGCAGATGTCAACCTGTTAGTCAAAATAATGATGCTTATCATCATGGTGGCAGTTTGCCAGATTCTAATTTACAGGAGTTGTGCTTTGCCATCCCAGTAAAAGCAATAGTAATTTCCATTTTACATATTTGATTATGTATCAAGTCCTTGTAACTTACTACATCAGCAAAAGTCAGTCGTTTACTGTTGAAGGGAAATGTAAACATCTCAGAAAAACATAAATACAGGAAGGCAAAGAGACTCAGAAGAACACAACATGCTACACATATTAGATGCCAACAATACTGGCACTGGTACCAGACATCAAAAAACAGCAATATTTAGTCACAACAGCTTAGCAACAGCACTTCAGAACAGATG